GTAGAATCTTCTTACACAAGTTTTGATGCAATGCAAATTTTTGTTTCCTGGCTGTGTCTAGCAGTGAACAAGAACGAGTTCCTTAACTTACCTGGAGATTAACAACTTTTAGTTGAGGGTTATCGGGCAATGACGGTCTCAGAGGATACTTCTCCTCCACATACTAATCCAAACACATTGTACTCGGAACAAAACTGACAGTACAATGTCAGATCCCATGTCAGATCCCATTGACCATATTCTTAAGTTTTTGAAATCTTGGTATACAATGGCATTGGACTTTAAATGTTGCTACATCGCCTGTATATATATTAGCACTTCTGTTGTTCGAAGGATCATGTGGTAGAGTCTAGAGACCACCAGATAGAGGATTTATTTACACTGTGCAACATGCAATTCTCATTATAATATGCTTCTTTTCTGGTTTGATCTTTTGAATACTCTATACAATTGGTTGGAGAATCCATAAATTTTTAGCTACAGTGTTTTTTTAATTTTATTTATTTATTTTAAATTCAATTGGCAATCATTGTTCTTGCTTGTGAATGTGATTTTCTCTTGTCGTTTGGTGGGACTACTTTGCAGGGATGGGAATCAACAAGTCCTGCTGTTATTGGCGTGAAGAGAATGGGTGATCTGGATTGCGAACCATTTCAAACTGCATATGCAAGAGAAAATATCCAACGGACGAAGCAGCAGATGACCAGGCAGCAATGCTGTGCTCTTTGTGGGAGGAATATCTTGCAGATTCAAGCTGGTATCCATTCAAGATGAGCATGGATCCTTCTGGAGTTGCGAAGGCAAGTATTTTAACTTGTAAAGCACTATCAAGTATCCATAGAATACAATTGATTGTTGCTCCTATTACACCAGCTTGTACTTCTCATGAGTGCATGTGGTTTCACTTAAAAAAGTTATCCATGTTATTGTTCCATATCCAGTTTTTGTTCAGGATATATCTAAGCGCGACCGGTCACGTGAATTGGCATTTTCATATTTACTACGGCCTTTCTTCTTCAAGGTTTAGGTTTAGTCCTGTGAATTTGCATCTTCATGTATGCCTCCTATAGCCTTTCATCTTGAAGGTTTAGGCTCTGAAGCTCGTACTGGCTAGGTTTTGTATAACAAGGAGCTTGTTCTGTGTGTTGAGTCAGGCTCCATTTATATGACATTGCCAGCCGTGTAGTGTACAGTCTATTCACATTTTGATTGCCGTTCTTTTGGTCCATCATTATCATGCTCTAACTTTGTTGTACTCAATTGATTTGTTCCAGTACATCTCATTTCTCATGCCCTTGTAACTGGATTATGTTTGTTTTAACCATACAGCAAACTATTGATGAGAAAGATGACAAACTGAAAAATTTAAAGGATGAGTACGGTGTTCATGTTTACAATGCTATGACAACTGCCTTGCTGGAATTGAATGAGTATAATCCCAGTGGTAGGTACGCAATACTAGAATTATGGAACTTTGAGCAAAGTAGGAGGGCCTCACTGAAGGAGGGTATCTCAGCTTTACTGAAGCAGTTTGAACTCCAGAAAAGGAAAAGAAGCTGACGGTCCGTACATTTCGTAAATTATTCTGGTTGTACATTCTCTTGTTACTTGTTTTGTTTGATCATACGTGTTTCACATCACTGAATTTCGAAGGGCTAGCTGGAGGAATTTGGATGGAAGTATATAGTTGACAACATCTTTTCTAATTTCTATGAAGTTCTCGTGAACACACACAACCCCTACACACACCTAGGCGCACCCTATGGTTTCTTCAGAATTACCCGGTTCTAACAAGTTTAGGCAGTTCATGTTGATTGTTTTCCTACATGCCAAACACACAGATGTTTTTCTGAAGACCACTCATCACTTCACACTGATATAGATATGCTGACGGTAGATTTGATTTCGATCAATTCCTCATGTTTTCTCCTGTATCATAATTTAGTTTAACCGGTGCCACTAATAGTTATACTCTTAATTTCCTGTTAATTAACTCATCATATAGCTCTCTAACCACACGCCGTTATCTAACAACTTGGTAGGAAAGCTTTTGGCCATTTTGTGTGTATACTTGTTAGTGTAAATTGAAATATAGCTCAGTAAATTCGGGAACTCTCATTCTCCGACAACTATCCTAGCGTTGTGGTAGGCTCCACGACACATCTTCACTTGTCATCAATGTGGGAGATGGGGACTGCAAGAAAACACATTGATAAAAAAAAAAAAGGTTATTTTTTGCGAATGAAATATTTGAATCGTTGTTTGGATGCTGCGCATGAAGTATGATTACATTTTTCTTAATTTTGCATAATATGACTACATTTTTTTTTAATTTCGCATCAATTTGAACGGCGTCAAATGCTTGGAAAACCCTAAACCTTGATTCAAGTTCACTACTACAAATCCATTTATTGGTGTCGCTATGAAAACCGCCAAGAAATGTGTATTACTGTCGGATATTAAGCAAAATCCGACAGAAAACGGATGCAGTGGCGGATATAATAAGCGACAGAATTTCTAGCGTCAGGAAATGAATTCTCCGACAGAAAATACTCTAAAACCGACAGAAATTGTGTCAGATCACTAGTACAAAAACATGTTTGCGCGACGTAGCAAATTTCATCGCGCAAAGTATGTTTGCGCGATGCTAAAAATAAAACGTCGCGCAAAGCTGTTTTGCGCAACAAAACTTTGCGCGACGAAGACTGGCGTCGCGCAAAGACATTTTGCGCGACGATGGTGAACCTACGTCGCGCAAAACAGCTTTGCGCGACTCCAGTCTTTGTCGCGCAAAGTTTTGGTGCCAAACCAAGATGTTTTACCGCTTTTTTCCTAATTTTGCGCAACGTAGGTACACCTGCGTCACGCAAAGGTTTTTTTTTTTTTTTTTTTTTTTTTGCATTACTAAAGAAATCTCATGTCATAAAATTTAATTCTTAAATTGGATTAATTTTAATTATTAATATGCATCAATTGACGACCTTTTGTTTTCTTCCTGTTAATTCCTTTGTCTTTGGCTACTTCTGGGACGACATGTCCTTGAGTACTTGCGGTGAAGAAAGAACAAATTTTATGAATAAGAAAAAAATAATTTAAACAATTAAAGAAAATTAAAAATTGTTAGATGAGTAAGGACCGTAAGGTAACACCGATATGACATGCAGTTGGGAAAGACGAGAGCAATGTTCCAACATCAACTTACTTATAAGGTCTTTTCTTGAGGAATCAACACTCAATAACAACCATAAGCTTTTTGCTCAACCGAGAAAGAATTCAACCCTTTTTTTACATACATTTTAAAAATAACAAAATATTAATTATTTGCAAATTTGCATTTTTACGTGTTTGTAATTACATCTTTGCCGTATGTTTTTGGATTTTGAAGTAGAGCTAGCCGTAATTGTACTTTGGTATGCATTGACAAAATTTTAGATACACCCTTTAATGCTAATCCAAATCAATAATGAATCTATTGAAGGATATTTAAAAAAAAAAAAAAAACTTTGCGCGACGTAGTTGCCTTTACGTCGCGCAAAGATGTTTGGCGCGACGTAGCAGCAAAGTTTTTTTTTTTTTTTTTTTTGCCCTTTTGCTTTTCTTTTGGGGTTCTTGCATTATCTTTTTCTTTTGTTGTATCCACTTGTTTAATTTTTTTTTTAATTGACGATCGAATTAGTTCATTGTATTCATATAGGGGTTAGGAATGTAGTTCTAAAAAATCATCAAAATCGGAGTTAAAACTACCGTTAAATCGGGCTTTTCGTTTATAATCGTCGAAAGGTTTTGTCCCGTTACTTGATCTCTGAACGTTTGTTTTTTGCGATTTTTGGCGTACGCGACCTCGAAGCATATACAAACAAGTTTGCCAGCTGGATCGTTGAAACTAGTTTCGTACAATGTGTTTCCCATCAAAACGATACATTCACTAACACTTAGAGTTTATTTATACTTTCATCAAGTATAACATAAGATTTTTTTGTATCCACTTGTGTAAATATTTTAAATTGAAGATCGAATTAGTTCATTGTATTCATATAGGTTCAAGGAGTGTCGCTCTAAAAAATCATCAAAATCAGAGTTAAAATTACCTTTAAATCGTGATTTTTCGTTTATAACCGTCGAAAAGTTTTGTCCCGTTACTTGATCTCTGAATATTTGTTTGTTGTGATTTTTGGTGTATGCGATCTCGAATTATGTACAAAAAAGTTTGACAGTTGGATCGTCTAAACTAGTTTCGTACAATGCGTATCCCATCAAAACAATATATTCACTAATACTTGGAGTTTATTTATACTTTCATTAAGGATAACATAAGATTTTGTGGTATCCACTTGTGTAAATGTTTTAATTGATGATCTAATTAGTTCATTGTATTCATATAGGATCAAGGAGTGTCGCTTTAAAAAATCATCAAAATCGGAGTTAAAACTACCGTTAAATCGTGATTTTTCGTTTATAACCGTCGAAAAGTTTCGTCCTGTTACTTGATCTCTGAATGTTTGTTTGTTGCAATTTTTGGTGTATGCGATCTCGAAGTATATACAAACATGTTTGACGGTTGGATCGTTGAAACTAATTTCGTAGAATGCGTATCCCATCAAGTTCAATGGTATATATATATTTATTAAGTAGCTTTACATTTATTTATCTTGTACGTATAATACTTAAGAAATTGAATAGTATATTTATTTATTAAGTAACTTTAAATTTATTATTGTAGTTCGGATAGTGTTTTTGTTAGAAAAATATATTATTGTGGGTTTTATTTATGTAAAAAAAATGAATTTAAAGGAAGTAATTTCACATTTTTAGTATATTTTATAATAATTATTTAAAAATATATATAACTCACGCGACGTGACAATGAAGTCGTTGCGCAAAAGCGCTTTGCGCGACGTTTTGCGCATTGCGCGACGTCAGAATGTATACCTGCGTCGCGCAAGTTCTTAAAATTGTGGCGGTTCCAATTGTTAAAAATAGGCGCTTATTTTGAATCTTCCCAAATTACTCTGATCTCGCCCTCTCTTTCACTCCGTCTCGCGTAGCCTTCCTCCCGACTGCACCCAGTCAGCCTCCTCCTCATCCTTCCTCCTCACCTTCTCCCGTAGCCTTCCTCCTCGCCTTCCGAACAGCCTCCAAGCCCCAACAGTTCTCCCACGACGACGAGGACTCCGATTACGATTGCGTCGAGATTAAACACGAACTGGAGGACGACGCCACCGATTGTGTCGTTATTAAGAACAAATTGGAGGACGACGATGCGGACGAGGTTTAATGGAAAATAAATGGTATTTGCACATTGCAATCTGACCAAGGTAAGACTAGAACCAACTAAGAATTGAAATCAATTAATAATTTCATATGTTTCTTGATTAAGTTCCTTGGATTACTATTGATTTTGTAGTGGAACTGCCGGGGGAAACTAAAATCTAAAAAGAAACTTTCTTTGTGCCTTTCGTAGTTCTTCCGCCGCTTTCACCCCCTTCGCTCTCTCTCTCTCTTCGATAGCTTTGAGAGAAGAAGACTAAAAAGGCATTTTCAGCTTGAAGAATCTCTCTCTATCCTTGTGGGATTGTATTTCTGCAAATCTCAGTTAGGTTTATGGATATGAGATACAAAATTGGACCGCGGGAATCAGCTAAGAAAGTCGTCGTATCTCCTGCAATCCTTTCGAAGTATCAGCCGTCGGATCGAATAACGCCTTGGTGTGTTCTTCCCAGATAACACCCAGTTCTCGGATTTCATATTTATATATAAAGGAATGTACTTTTTTGATGTTCCAATTCATGGGTTTCATGTCTCTGTTAATTTATTTTTTAGTTTTCTTTTGCACTTGAAATTCTTATTTTCTATATAGGACTTTTGGAATTCTAGACAACCATTTGCGGTTTTTTCATACAAGTATTTGTTTTATACTTCGTATTCCAGAATTTTGATTGTATAGTGAGATGAACATGAATTTGAGGTTGTTAAATTTCGAGCTCTATAATCACTTTCATGCTAGTTTTTGGATCTGATATCTCCAGTTTCTTTGTATGTTCGGTGCAAGTTACGGACTCGTCTTACTAGCAAAGTAACCTGTACATCATGCTAGCTTTTTACATCATGTTGTTACTTGGTTTGTGATGACTGTTGCTAATATTCTTTATTTTTGTTTTTCGTCAGTTTTATATTCTATATATGTTCATTAGGCGGATGTTAAGGGATCGAGCTAAGTCTGGTGGTTAGGCTGCCTTTGACCTTAAGCAGCGCCAGAAACAAGGGCTTGAGCCTTAAGTTGACAAGGATCGTTTCCCACCTATACCGACCAATCTAACTTCTCTACATCCTTGTGCAAACGTACCGAGGAATAATGACCTTCTGGGCAGGCCTTTTTCAACTCTACACCTCCCATCTGTAGATTGTCCAACTTTGGCAGAGAATAGGGTTGGGAAAAGGCCTTTATTAGATGGCGATTCCAGTGGGAAACAGTACACTTCCGTGGAAGATAATACATCTTCCATGAAGAAGATCATGTATTTTACCCTTGGGCTGACGATTTCTTGATTGAGGATATTATGGTTGGTATTGATAATGATATGGATAAGGCCTCAATTTTATTGAAACAATGGTTTCCCCTAGCAGCTGTGAAGAGAATAACCGAACTAGCATTTCATAAAAACAACTCCAGTTCAAATAGACCGCCACAATTTTTAGATTAAGTTCCTTGACTAGAAACAACTTTTATTAATTTTTATAGATTTTAGTTTTGTTGTTAAATGACTCATTGACTTGTGTGTTTCTGTTGTAGGAGCTTTGGTCTATGCTGGGGTTTATGAGGATGTATTGCAAAAACTTCAGAGGTTAACTCGAACAGTATTCTTAAGGTTCTTCCTGGCAGATCTCCAACTATTTTGTTCAGTTTCGTATGGTGCGTTTGTCTCGACTTTCATGTTTTTGATATCCCAGTTTTGTGTTCAGATTGTATATATGTTTGCTTATTGTTCTTTTTTTCTTTTCTCATTCTCTAGATTGCAAATCATCCTTTACTAGTAAGGCGTATTTACAGTGATGAGGATGTTGTTCGTTTTGCCAGAAAGTTACCTTAGACAAAGTAGTTGGGGAACTTAAGAATTATAGTGACTTCTCTATCCATCAGGTATTTTCTCAACTTCTTGAAAATGAATTTGTCTTTCAAATTTTTATACATTACTATCAATGTTTTGGAACGATTTGATCATCTGGGCCGTACAGTGTTCGTGTGCCTGTGTATGTGTGTAGCAGATTACATATTGTATGTTGATATTGTTTATGCTCTCTCTCTCTGTGCAGCTTTTGCTGTATTATGGTGTCTCTGATAAGAAATGATTGCTTCAAGACAAATATGCATTGCTTTCTTCAAAATCTCAGGTATAATGCTACTTTAATAACTTCACTAACCAATTGGTCTGAGTCAAAATTTGGAGAGAGTTGTCATATGATACTCTCTGCTCAAAACTGAGGAGAGTTTTCTTGTTTATGATATTAGGCATTGGCTGAACTTCTTCCTTCACTGAAGCTAGCTGGGCATTGTGTTCTGATTTTCAGCTAGTGGACGTCAATGCTTGATATTTTGGAGTGGACTTTGTGTTACATACAGACGACTTGATGGAAGGTACTGGTGTACTTTTATCACATTTACGGATTGTTCTTATCATAATAAAATGTGCCATGCCACATGGTATATCTGTTTTATACTCTGGCTTGCTCAGTTCCACTTGTTGATTGTGGTTAATTGAATTGTTACCTCATATGTTGTAAGTTGCATTTCTTGTCTATTAACCCATATCTTCTGAATGTCAGCACTCAGGTGACAAAATGACAGACAATAATTGATACATTCAATAATGACACTTCTATATTTGCTTGCTTGCTGTCCACAAGAGAAACTGCAATTGGAAACCTTTGTAATTTAGTTTTTGTATTTTTCAAGTCACACCTTTGACCTCTCAGCCGATACCTAATACCTTGATGTATCAAACCTAGAAGACTACTTCTTGTAGTTTTTTTTTGTTCGAACATCTTGTATGTATATTATTATATATTTTATAATTAAATACTTTTTCTTGGTTTATTAATTATTGTTTAGAATTTAATTACAATATTTATTATAAAAAAAAAAATATTTTCGCCAAAAATAAAAAATAAAAAACAAGGGTTTGCGCGACGAAGAAATAACCTGCGTGAAATGGAACCCTATAGCCACCATTTCAATTCCACTTAACCAGTGTGAAATAGAACCCTATAGCCACCATTTCAGCCCGAGAGTAAAATTGATGCCCAACAGCAATACCTGCGTCATTTATATTTACATTAAGCAAAATATCTTTTGAAAAATGGTCGGCCTAATGATCAAGCATAAGAAACAAGCCAACATTCTCTGTGTACCCAACTAAAACAAGATAAGACTAAAAAGGTTAACATGTGATTCAACCAGCAAAACAAAAACAACGAACCCGGAAGATGACCAATTTTCTCTTCAGGGAATAAAATTTGGTTCTTCTTCAGCATTTGTTATGAATCAAAATGACAAAAACAGCAACAAAAAATCATCACAGTTAGCATAAAAACAGGAGGGGTTAAAAACTTAAAATGGCAGGTTACTATATGTTTCTGAAAGGATATAACGCGTGGTTACTACTAAAAATATACCAGTTCTACAAGGCAGACAACCATACATTATAATAATTCTGAATCACACAATCAAACAAGGCAGACAACCAAACAAACACCAAATTCAGAATCTTCCCACTGTCTTGGTCCCTGTGAATCTACACAATCAAACACCCCAAAATTCAAATCACTCATAAATTTTCAATCTTTATATATATATATGTGTGTGTGTGTGTGTGTGTGTGTATTATAAATGGATGAAGAAAATGATAAATTGCTGATGGGTATGACATTTCCGGATTCAAGCAAATCCGACGACCCAGACCTGGCTCAGATCTGGAGGGGGAACCGAGTGGAACAGAAAAATGGGAGTTCTACCGACTTTAGAATGACCTAATCGTACCTGAAAATTGGAAAATTGGGACAAAATTGGTAAGGAGGAGGTGAAGATTTGAAGGATTCGACGAAATGGAAACCCTAAAAATAACTCAGGCTCACGAAAATATGTTAGCAGAAAAAACGGTGCAAGGAAGAGATGGAGAAGCAGCAGCTATGGCAGCAACATCGGCGATCGTATTGATGGCAAGAGGCTTGAAAGGGTCATCGATGTAGAGAAGACGACAGCGTCCAGGGGATCGTAGTTGGGATCGATGACTTCGCAGTCCTATTTTGGAAGCAAGGTTTCGTTCGTGGCTTCGCGGCCCTATTCGAGGAAGGGGAAGAAGATGTGGAGAAGGAAATGAGGACAGGAGAAAAGGGGGAAGGAAGGGAGAAGGGAAGGGGTTTTATTTTGGAAAATTTTCAGTACTGTCCGTTAAAACCGACAGAAATATTTTTATAAAATATAAACCGATAGAAAATTTTACTTACTGTCGGTTATAACCGACAGAAACAAAATGGCATCCCAAAATCCTCTCCGAAAATTTTAAATTCCCCCCAAAATAAAATTCAAAAATACTGTCGGTTATAAGTGACAGGAGTTTTATAATATCCGCCAGTAATTATCCGTTAGGAATTTATGTCGAATATAACCGACAAGATTTTTTAATATCTGCCACAATTAAATAATGTGTCAGATATAATTTATCCGACAATATTTTTCTAAATCCACCACCATCATCCGCCACCTAAAGCTAATATTGTAGTAGTGGTTTTTTGTAGGTTCCTATCGGACCTTTAACGATTTGGTAGGTCTTGACCGAATGGTTAAGTTATGGGATGTGATATCCACACACCCCTTTTTACTTCTCTCATACATTTTTAATTTTCGGCTGTTGGATCAGATGAATTGAAGAAGATCAAAAGACAAAAATTAACAAGAGGTGTGGGACAAGTAAAAAGGGGTGTGTGGATAGCACACCCTAAGTTATTTCAGTGGACACGTGCCAAAATATTGAATCCTTTCATTTGTCATGGATTCACGTACTCTAAGGCTGGAGCCTACTGAAAATACGCACAACTTCGGTAGGTACCTGTTGAAACTACATATAGTTATGATAGATATAACTGTTGAAACGTGTACAGTTTTGGTAGATACATGCTGAAACTTTATGTGGAGAGTGTGGACTATGTGATTAGTTTGGGAAAGGTGGATGTTCTCTGTTTGTACCATACTTGACCAATCCCGAAACTACTGAGCACCGGTCAACGTTATACCGTCAAGGACCCAAAAGAGCTTCCCTTCAACTAGGAGGCCAATCACAATGCGACACGTGTCGACATCAGAAGCCAATCACAGCTCGACACGTGTCAACATCAGAAGCCAATCACAACACGACACGTGTCAATGTTAGAACAAAACTAGAAACTCTCTTCTATAAATAGGGATCATTCTCCCACAATAATCTCTAATGTCATTTTGTACTAAACTATTCACTAGAACTCACAAAATGAGAGCTTGAACCTATGTATTTGTGTAAACCCTTCACAATTAATGAGAACTCCTCTACTCCGTGGACGTAGCCGATCTGGGTGAACCACATACATCTTGTGTTTGCTTCCCTGTCCTTATTCATTTACGTACTTATCTTCACTAGTGATCGAAGCAACCAAGCAAAGGTCACAAACCTGACACTTTCTGTTGTACCAAAGTCCTCGCTGATTTTGTGCATCAACATTTGGCGCCGTCTGTGGGAACTGACACTTATTCCCACTCTCTTCAGCTTTGTCAAGCTGGTTTCCACTGCTCGTACACTCTCTTTTGGCCAAGCATATCTCTCCGACATAGGGAGCGAAAGAAGCCATAGCACACAGAATGACACCCCCATTGGACCTAGTATGAAGCAACGAAAGCAGGAAGGAGATAGAGTTACTCTTCAAGCTAAAGTCGATGAGTTAGAAGCTCAGAACAACAAGATAGTGATGAGAAACGAGGTTCTCCAAGAGCAGTATGAAAAACTTTTCGAGATGTTTCACGAGGCTAGGCATGCTCAAGCACACAAGCTCGTCGCCCCTGCTGAGGTCAACAATCATCTGAATGCCCCCCAACACGGAGGGTCACCGATATCCAACACAGACATCCCTGATAAGGATCGAGCTACACATCAATGTGATAATCAACATGAGACTTCTCTCAACCCAGCTGCTTCAACCCGAAGCAGAAGGAGTAGAGGAAAGCACCTCCTCACAGAAGGAGTGGAATGATCAAAAGTCGTCTATCGCGATTGTCGAGACTTCCTAAAGCAACGTCGAGAGAATCCCATCCACATAAGCTCGAAGATCAATGACCCAAGAGTTTCTGAAAGACTCGGTCCTCTCCCACGACCCAGGCCAGCAGTTAATCTAGGGAATGGGCAACAAGTCCCAGAAGAACATGAAGGTACAGGGGACTCGGAAATGTTCCGACATACTCACTCTAGGAGTCAGTGTGACGAGTCCAAGGAAAAATCACGCTATCTTGATCAAACTTTCCTACTTACAATAGGCGATGGGGACTTACGGAAGAAACCTTCAGTGGTGCACGACTCCACTCAAGACCCCCTTGTCCTACAGCTCCTGGAGGAAGTAAACAAGTTGAAGGCTGAACGTCAAGCCGAGATACCTGACTGGAACTAACCCAGGCCTGGGCCTCTCACAAGAAGGATCCTCAACACCCATTCCAAGCAAAGACAAAGCAGAAGCATGGCTTACAACTCTATACTGGAAAGGAAGACCCGATTGAACACCTTAACCTCTTTGAGTCCACCATGGTATACCGGAGACACACCGATGAAGAACGGTGCCTTCTCTTCCCCTCCACCCTCTCTGGCGCAGCTTTAAACTGGTATTGCCGTCTTCCGCCTGAGACAGTAGACTCATTTGAAGAGTTGAGGAAACTGTTTGTCTCTCAACACATCTTCCAGACCGATCGCTTGCATTCCGCAGATGACTTGTACACTATTCGCCAGAAGCCAGACGAGTCATTACGAAAGTATGCTGGCCGCTTCAGCCATGAGTATTCTCGTTGCGCTGAGGCAGATGACAAGACCGCCTTCAAGGCTTTCACGGCAGGCTTACGTGACTGTTTCTTCAAGTACATGATCAATGCCAACACTTGGAATACTTACTCTGAGGTGATGGCACAAGCTTACAACCATGCCTCCGCCGAGGCAAGGACATATCAAGGGAAACCCCCTACAGTCACCCCTTATCAGCAAGTAGGGAGTGGAGGCCAGATCCAACCGAATGAGAAGACCTCAACCTTCCAAACGGTAGCAGCACACCCCCCTGCCTCATTTAATGCTTCGCCAAGTCAGCAGACATATCAATCCCAGGGCAAAAGGAAAGATTTCCATCCTCACCAATCTCATTTTAATAAAAAGAATAAGGGGCACTATCGCGATAACTCAGGATATCGTCACAATAACGCCCGTCCCCAGGCAGTCAATGCAGTGGGCCAATCACGTGTCAAGACAGGCCCTACCCCGAGGTATGAGACATACACACCTTTGAACACTACATGCGCGGCCATATACCCCAGTATAGCTCATCTGATACCAAAGCCAAAGCCAAGACAGCCAGATTACAAGTCCACGAAAAACACGGGCATGTTTGCTGCTACCACGAGTATAATGGCCATAATGGCGAGGAGTGCGTTATCCTCCGTGATCATATTGAAGCTTTGGCACGTGAAGGAAAAATTGATCATTTCCTCCTTCACCCTCCAAGGGATAACCGTAACCAACGCCAGGTGAATGTGATATATTCTATAAGCGGCGGCACACCTATGTCTGAATCTTCCAATAGGGCCATGAAAAACAGTGAACGAACTTTGAGACCTGGCCATCAAGTGTTTCACGTGGAAGACATCAGGGGAGGCAAGTATCAAAAGCCTAACTGGGATCCAATATGTTTCTACCCTGAGGAAGAAAGAGGTATCATCTACCCTCACAACGACCCGCTGATCGTGGAGGCT